TATAAGATTATTTTACTTTTTTATACAACCATGATTTTTTCTTAATTTCTTTATTTCTTGCCTTTTAAATAGTTATTCAAATTTCTGTTTTCATTTTTATTATTTATCTCATTGTGGAAGTTATAATTTTAACCCTGTTATTTCAGTAGTTTCCTTAAAAATTTTCATATATGTTCTGGACTTTATAAGATCTAAATTTAATCAGTTTCAAATAAGTAATGATTTTTTCTCACACACAAAAGAATACAGTGGGGCCAGGGATTTAGTGGATTTAGATCTGTGGTACAAGCACCTGCCTGGGAAGTGCAAGGTCATGAGTTCGATCCCTAATACCGAAAAAAAAAAAAAAAAAAAAAAAAAAAGAAGAAGAATTGAAAAAGAATACAATGATCCTGAAATACTTTGACTTTGATTCTTATACAATTAGACAAGTTATTTTTTTAAGTATTTTAATTTCATATTTTTAATACACTTTCAATTTCATCATTAACACATCCTTTTATAATCAGTACACATTTTTATTTACTATTTTACCAGATCTGTGTTTACATTTCTTTCATTTCAGTCTTTACTTTATGGTATTTTACTTTCTTTTTAGTGAACTGGCTTAGCTACTTTTTCTCATTGCTGAGACCTGTGACTGCATGAGGGTTTGGGGTAATATCTAGACACAAGCCATAAAGTCTGCCCTTGGCCCCCAAAGACTAATGTACTCTCTTTATGCAAAAGGCATTTAGTCTGTCTTTTAAGAGTTGCCAAGTCATAACAGTTTCAACATTGCTGAAAAGTCCAAGTCCAAAGTTTCCTCTGAGATTGAAGGCAAACTCTTAGCTGCGAGCCCTGTACAAATGAAAATAAAGTTAAACATTTTCAACATTCAATGGCACAAGAGAGATATTTCCATTCCAGAGGATACAAGTGGGGGATACAAAGAAATGAGACCAAAGCAAATCCAAAATCAATCAAGGTGAACATTAAGTCCTGTATTTCTATGTACAATCTGAGGCAATCTGTGGCAAGGGTTTGGGTGGCTCAGCCTCTATAGCACTTCCAGTGCTTCTAGCTTCCATGACTTCTCTCCTGGGCCGCTTCTGCTCCCACCTTGCAGTTTTTTCCTCAGAAAATTCACATTTCTGGCTTCTCCAAACTTCTGCAGTCTCCACTCTGCTTTACCTTCACACTTAACATGTTCTCATGCACTGCCCTCTTAAGGGCACACTGCCTGGCTTCCCAGGCAACCCCACAACTCTTGCACTCTGCATGCACCTAAAATCTGCAACACCTGACACCCAGAATTGAAGAAGAAAAGGCATATCTGGCTCATAGTTGTATAGATTTCTATTAATAGCTGACTGTGAGGTGGAGTAGTCTACAGAGGAGAAACAGCCCACAGAAAGCAGGGAGGTGAAAGCACATTAGCCCTCTTTCTGTTGTTTATATTTTATGTAGCACTCATACCCCTACTCGTAGCTAGAACAGTGCAAATGAATTCCATTTGCCTAAATTTTCTTGCTCTGTAAGTACTTGGTATTCCTTTTTGTTATTGTAAGTTTTATCCCCCCTCATCTTTTTTTGGTATCTGTAATATCACTGAGGTGTATCTGGATGATAGTTTGTGTACAGCTTCTGTATAACACTGTGTGTAATTAGATAATGCTTCGTGCTTCATTTATTTAAATAATAGAATTAGTAGCTTGCCATGTGCTCTTTCCTGAGCAGATGCTTTGAAGCAGTGCTCTAGTGTGTTGTCCTCGCTGGGCTTGAATTTGTGATCCTCCTGCCTTAGCCTCCCTGAGTACTGGGATTACAGGCCTGTACCAGCACACACTGCTGGGAGCCATTATTTCAGTGCTCAAACTACTACACACAATATAATTTAAAATTATGTGAATGAAAGGTTTGATTTCTTGGAAATGTTTAACACATTAACATACACTATAGGTGTAGTAGGACTGAGACAGCTCACTTTATAAGTGACTGTTTAATTTAAATGATAAAGATTTGTTGGAGTTAAATTTAACAAAGAGGAAAAGTGAGAGCATTTCAAGAAGAGATTTACTGTGTGCAAATATCCTGTAACAAAAAGCAGATTGGAAATCATGAAGGTGTTAGGAAAGACCAAAGAGATTTAAGAATAGAAATAAAAAGGGAAACTTACTAGAGTTGAAGGTGGAGATTTAGTGATTTAGGGAGATTTTTGTCTCAAAACAAAAAATAAAACAAGGGTGGGAATACAAGCTCAGTGTGAAAGCTCCAGGTTTAATCTACAGTACAAGAAAAAAAAAGCAAATAATAATGTTTCCCATTAAAACCTAATCTCAGTGAGGATAGGCCCCTTGGTTGTTTTTTGTTATTTCCATTGTACTGTGATTTCCTAATACGGGAATTTGTACTTATTAGGGGCTCAAAAATATTTGTTAAATAAATGCCTTGAGAATTACTATTTCTTTGGTTCAAGTGTAAATAGTTGATAGGCCTTCTCGTCCCTTTATCCCTGCAAGAAGAGCCTCGCCGTAAAGTTTTAAAGCTTCATGGTCCCTTGCCATATTAAAATACCAGTCTGGACAAATAGAAAGGAAGGCTGCATTTATCTAAGTGACAGAGTAGGCAGTAGAGTCTGCACTTCTAGTCTTTATCCAGTTTTGCTTCTCCTCATAAATATGGGTATGTTATTCTGTGCTGAAGAGGATCAGGAGGATTTGTTGGCAATCTTCCCAGCTAGGCCGATGTGTGCAAAAAAAAATCAGAGCCAGAAATCAACTGTGGCTTGTGGCTTTTCCAAGTGGGATGGGATGTGGTGCTTCTAATTGAGGTCAGTGGAGCCAGAAGGCTGATAGTACAAAGCAGGTTGTTGATTCCATCCTCTCTGCCCATGGGGATATTCCCAGAGAGGCATCTGGAGATGCGCTGAGCAGAGTTGGCAGCTGAGCAGGCCTGACTTGGTTCCCTCAGGGACTGGACTGAGCTAGGGATGGAGAAGACTGTAGAGACATTGCTGGCAGCTGAGGGCATGGGCACTGTTTCTGTCGGGAGCAGTGGTGCAGACAGCAGAGACCAAGTAGGTGGCTCAGGGAGTTGGTGCCAAGGAGGAAGGTGACTGACTCACAGAGGGTGCTCGAGATGAGGAGGAAGCCAGTTTGGTTATAGGAAGTGTTTGTGTAGGGACAAAACTGGCTGAGGCATGGGAAGGATCAGTGCTGGGTGCAGAGCAATCAGTGACTGGGACAGAGCTATAGAATCTGGGAGAATGGCCAGTGGTGAACTGGGCAGCCATATCAAGGGTATACTTGGGGACTGAGACAGTGCCAGTCCTAGAGCTTGAGTGGCTGCCTGGTGGCCAGCTGGGATCCACTTCTTGGGGCGGTGGGGCTTCTGGTAGATTCAGGTCATCGTCCATACACAGTGGCAGAACATCTTGTCAGAACTTTCAAGGAGGATAGAATAAATATTTTTAGTATGTTGATTCTTTGTGTACCTAGGGGAGTTTTGTTTTGTTTTTATGGTCAAAAGAGTTCCCTTCTCCTAGTAAGCACATGCTCAGAGCTGGGGCATCAGAGTTTGACACAAGTTTATCCAGTGTCAATATAGGGGACTGTTCTAGGCTGCTTTCAGCGAGCTAGTGCCAAACTTGGTGAACAATTTCTGCATTCAGAGGGCCTTCTGGTGGCCAAGCAGGACACAGGCAGGCACTGCCATTCCATTTAGCAAAATATTTGGAGGTGCCATGGTTTCAGTTTCATTCTGTGGTCCTCCACATGGCCTTTGGGGAAGCTTTCGACCATGCCCTCTAAAGTGGTCACCTTAGTCTGACTAGCACCCATTCTGGCTCCCTATAAAGTGTGTAGTATCCTTAAAAGGAGTCACCACAAAGGGTGGGAACCTCTCACTGAGAGGCCATTCACATGTAATCAGGCACTGGGACTAGTGCTTCCCAGTCTTGGTGCACAGATGAAACAGTCTATGGTTTACACAGTCCGTGCTCACTCAGTACACACATTCACACACAATCAGAGGTTAAATATATTCCCATCCCCAACCCCTAGAGTGAAATCTGACTAAAAACAAGACAGAATCTGGCTGTCTTGGCTAATGATGGCAAGGCATGATCGGTGTCCCTATCATCCTAAATTGGAGATAGAAATAGTAACTTACAGGCTGAGGCTAGCTGCAGGGTATCGCAGGGATATCCTACCTTCTGGGTCAGCTGTCACTGCATTCCTTCTAGGGTCCAATGAGGTCACTGCTGCCACACAGGGTCTCCCACTTTATGACCGCTGAGGGAATTCTGAGAAGAGAATCAGAGGGCAGGCCATCTCATCTGCAGTACAGAAATCAAGTCCCTGTTAGCCAGCAGCCTCTCCACCAGTAACCAAATGATCAGCACATTGTCTCCCGGAATGAGCCCCAAAATTATGATGTGAAATTCAGGATCAGACCAGTGGAGACAAAACATGGTACTTGAAGAGCTTTAGAAGTCAGCTTTATTGTGCTAACAGACAGATAGAAATCTCTGTTCCAAACCATCACTGCAACCTCAGGTTACCAGTCATTTGTATAGGTTTCCAGAAGAAAGTGCAAAATGCACATAACAGAATATCCTATGGCTGGTTGCACATGTGTTTGTCACTAATTGCTAGGCAGCATTTACTCTTACAGAAACAAGTTAAAGCAGGTTACTCTCATATAACATAGAGGAAGAATCCATTGTCTGAGACAGGGCAGAGGTGTCCTTGAAGTGATAACTCTCTGTGACTTAGAAGTAGGAGAAACATTTCTTCCTGACTGAGCTACACTTATCTTGCAATTGGCATTTGGAATTTCAAGGCTGTTTGAGTTGGTAACTTTCTAACCATGGCAACAGGCTGTGTCTCCCCATCTCATCCTTGAACAATGTTAGAAATACAAGATCTAAGTTTTTCTCAGCATTAAAACAACCTCTAGTTTCTGGTCTGTTTGCTTTGGGTTCTTCTTCAACACAATTACCTTGTCCTTCCCACCAGGTCGTTGACCAGATCGATACGCTGACCTCTGACCTACAGCTGGAAGATGAGCTGACTGACAGCTCCAAGACGGACACCCTGAACAGCAGCTCCAGTGGCACGGCCTCCAGCATGGAGAAGATCCGGGAGCCACTCAGCAGAGCCCTGGTGCAGCCCTCAGCTGTGCTCACAGTCCTGAGAAAGCCGCACCCCCCAGCACCACCACCACGGCTGACCCCCATGAAAAGCGATGACCCTCGTAGGGTAGCGCCTACCACCCACCATGGGAGGACCAATGGCACCCTGCTTCATGGTGGGGGCCTTCCAGGGGGCCCCAGCCTGATCCCCAACGGAGACCTCCTCTGCACCCCCGGGGTTGACATGGACGAGACCCAGGTGCAGACTCTGACTCACAGACCTGAAAAAGACGGGTGTCCCCCCATGGGACCTCGAGAACGGGTGCGGTTTAATGAGAAAGTGCAATACCACGGCTACTGCCCTGACTGTGATAACCGGTGTAATGCGCGACACAGGGAGGTCCGCCTGCATGGGGAGCCTGTGCCCCTGCCGCCCGGAAAGGCACTACGCCGAGGGCCACCGCCCCCACCTCCCCGGCCTCCTCCTTTCCCGCTGGAAAACGGGGGGCTGGGAGGAAGCCCCAGCCACAGCCACCCTCCTCTCAGACCTGCAACTGTGCCTCCTCCCGCTGCACCCAGACCGCAGAGGACCATTCTGAGGAAGTCAACCACTACGACAGTGTGACGTATGCAATTTTACAAACTTCTTGATTTTTAAGAGATTTCTATATCATAAGCATTAAATAATAAGTAATGAGCACTTTCTACTCAAGCAATAAAAAGCTCAAATATATTAATCCTGCATTCAACAAAGTGTCATAAAACCACCCGGTAAGTATGCAGTGCACTGCTCATGTCCTGGGTTTACACTATTTTAAATGTTAATTAATCCAAACTGCAGAATAATGAAACAGTATAAATGTGTTGTTTTTGCAATTTCATTATGACAAAATGTGACCTTTTAAATTTCAAATATTTTGATTTATTAAATACCCAGGGTGATTCATTTGATTCATGACTAATTCATCTATGCATTAATAACATTTCATACTCTTAACTTTGATCTGATGCTTTTTAAGAAGGAATTTAAAAAATGAAGGACTATTTTATTATTTTTCTAAAGATATTTGTCACTAGTTTTGCATTCGAAAATGATATCAGAAAGTTTATTTTCTATACTATACGATTATGTTCAGCTATATATGTAATAAAATTTACTGGTTGTGGAAACATCATTATGTCAATAAATAACAAATAATGATAAGACCAAATGTTCCTCAGAATTCAAATGAAGGACTGGTTTGTTGAATCTCATCACAATATTTATTGAAATGGGTAGCAACTGTTTTGAGAAGATCTCAGTAAGTGTATGTCAGAATTTTCTAAATTACAGATTACAATCCACCCATAAATACACCTTTTATATGTGCATATTACATACCACCACGACGCTACTTCAAGGATCAGTCTTTAAGCTTCAGTCATCGTTGAGCGCTGTGATTCTCCAGCCCTTCCCATTCATCCATGACGCACTGGAAACGAGCACATTGAATCTGTGGGGGAAAATTGCCTGCTGTGCGAACAAACTCTGCCTCCATCAGAGAACTCATGTTTATAGGAGAATTTAAAAAGAAAATATAAATATTTCTGGTAACAGGGTATGTTCTGCATAAGCCTTGAGCTTGTTTTCTTCAGGGGTGAGTGGTGGTACAGTTCTTTGTTGTTCCATAGAAGAGAGTGGGAATCTTTTCCTTCTGTCACCAAATAACAGTCTTCATCCTCATTTGCCAGCTGAGGAAATTTATTAACTTTATGGTTAAGCTGGGCTTTGGACTGATGAAATGTTTTGCCCCAGGACTGGAAATGAATTCATCTCCCTACAGTGGCGGTGAGGAAAGGTATCTGAAAAACTGTGGTCCATTACATGGTAAGAGTAGAGGATCACCTGATGGAAAATTTGTTTGTTGTGTGAATTGGAGTATGCAGTGACTCTTGGTTTCAAAACTAAATATCACTGCCCCAGAATGGCAGTCGCCAATAATTTCTTTGTTGACTCTTCCAGGTTGTACCCTTGTAATTTGTAACATTGTTTTTAAACCAGTTTCTATTAAAATATGATAATTATTTTGGGCAGGACGCAAAAGTGAAATAGATTTTTATTTTTCAAGGCATGATCAAATTAGTAAAAACCAATAAATGATTGACTTACTGAATATCAAAATAATGTGTTAACATTTACTACATATATAAATAAACCCAGGAGTCATCATCTTTCTGTATTTAAATAATTCCCTTAAAATATGCACCAGATATCAAGAATATAAATAGTTATAGACACAATTTCCTTCCCTTCACCTGTCTTCTTTCTTTAACTTGTCACTGTGACCTAAAAATCAGTATATTTTTTGAGACCATGCCTCTTATAGATACAGATTCTGCCAGATCTCAAAGTAGAACTTCCTTGAAATCACAGATCAAACACAGAGCAAAAATTTGCTTGAAATACAATAAGTTGAATAAATTGAATCATTCAGGCTGGTTGAAAAAGGACACTGAGCCAGATGTGTAGAAAAGGCTTCAAAAGTTCAAATCTATCTCTTGAAATACAAAGTATCTTGATAAAAAACCATGTTTTTCTGATTGATTCATGACTTATGCCAAAATTACACCTATTTCTTCATTCAACACATTTATAACTAACCATTGATCTAGAAAGCTAAGTCTCAATCCAAAAATGTTGCAGTTATTGACTTTATTTTCCTGTTATAGTTTATTTATCTATAATCAATAAATGTTAGGTTACAACAGTATTGATCTTCCTTTTGAGTTCTTTATTCTAGATTATTTGTTTTCATTCATATATAGACTATAGTCCACCAATAATATACTCATTTTCCCAATTCGTAATTTTGCAGCATGCTCTGAGATTGAAGTTTTCTTTGGTTTTGGTTTTTGTTTTAGTGATATTAGAGATTGACCTTCTCACTGAGTTCTAGCCTTAACCTTTTATTATTATTACTGTTTTGTTTTGTTTTTAACTTCTGAGAGAGTGTCTTGCTAAATTGCTTCATCTGGTTTCAGACTTGTAATCATCTTTTCTCAAACTACCAAGAGATTACAGGCATATGCTACACAGCCCAGCAGTTTACACTTTTTGTTATCAATAAACACTGCTTTCAATATTTAAATTTTAAACTACAAGCCCTGCATATAGTACAGTAAATCACCATAAAATGTATCTTTCCTTTTCCTAATGATTTTAAATAGAAATGCTTTCCTCAGATTACTTAGTAGGACTTTTTTTCTAGCACATGCATTTGAACATTTGTGTTTATACATAGTATGCACCATAGACTTTGTAGCCATCCTCCTTTGTAGGTGACATTTCTGCAAAATGTAAAATAGCAAAATAATATCCATTGAATGGGTAAAAATAGAATGTATTTCAGTAGACTGAATGCTTTTTAAATTTGAGTGAGGAAATTATTTATCTTCCTAGTTTACACAATGATTTTTCCAATTTGAGGACATTCTTGTGTGTCTACTGATGTACTATAAAAAGAAAATAAAAAATAATGGAAGCTCTCATCCAACTTCAGTAAGTTCTGAAGGAAAATAAAATGAATACTTTAGGTTATGCTTAAGCTAATTATTAAAAGACCTTCACATAAAATGCAAAGATATGGATAAAAGAGAAATTCCCCACTTTTCCAATTTCACAACCCTCTCATTAGTGTTCAGTAACACTCTAGGAAAAATGAACCCATTAGAAGGAGTTCAATCTAAAAATCTTACTTGAAATATAACTGCATAATTATTTTATGAACAAAAACAAGGAAAAGTACTACATGGCTTTCTTTGGGTAAATCAGTACTTGTATTTTAGCATCACCACAGAGCTACAGCTATACCACCTCTGGATTTATGTATGATCTTTTATCTATAGATTCTAAAGAAGAAACAATAGCTGTTTTTTGGTGTTCCATGAAGAAAAATCTTAGAAGATCTATGTATAATTGTACTGAGTATACTAAATCAAGCCTTCAATCTCTGTTGAACGATGGGGGTGGGGGGCATTGAATGAATGTAATATAAGGCTTATTCAAAGGATTTATTTTCTTCTCCTAATTCTTTTATTAGTAGTGTACTTTCCCAAAATATATACTCAAAATTGTATCACAAGATTACATTGCAATATATTTTGATAAAATAACTTATGTTTTATAAACGAGAGAATAATTTATGAAAAATAAAATTATTTTAAAAGCTATCTTGCATAATTAGGTAGAGTTCATGGTGTCTGACAATTACTACAATTTATCGTGAAAATCACATTACATTTTCTGGGTCAATGTATAGTGGTGACATACTAATTAAGATTTTAGAGTAAATATTTCAGAGTTTTATAATCATTCAAGGTATACAATTCTGAATTAATGATAGACCTGATGCTACAATTAGAGCACACAATAGTGTTGAACTTGAATGTTACCTACATCTTGGTGGAGCAGTAATTACTAGGATGTCATTTCATTTGAAGCATAGATTTAGCATTCTAATCTTTAGAGGAAAAGTTAATGTAGAATGTAAAGATTTTTCAAATAACTCTCCTTTTAAAATCCAGTTAAGCTCTGATATACTGTGTGTTGATTACTTTTCTTTCATTGCTGGGCCAAAATACCTAATCCACAAAATTAAGGAAGGAAAACTTTCTTTAGTTCACAGTTTATGGATGTTTCAGCCTGTAATCATCTGCTCCAAGGCAGGATGGCATGGCACAGAGGCATCAGTTCATGGTGGTGGTAATAACCAAAAGCAATAAGAGCAAAAAGGGAGGAGCACAGAGAAGACTCTTTGAGTCCCTTACATTGTATATAGTCTATCCACCCTAGGGTGGGTGTAGGACTTACACCCATAATGGAGCACTGGACCATGAATCAGTCATAAACTCTAGAAGCCTGCCCCCATGACCACATGAGGCTTTGCAGGGATATCTAAACCAAATTATAACATATTATTACAGCATATTGTGCCTAGAAAATTAACATATATGCATTTTACCTTTTAGAAAACTAAATGAAGAAGTTTGCAACTTTTCTTCACACAGAAATGATAAATGTTTGAGGAGCTATAAATGTTTCATCTGATTTAAACGTGTCAGACATTATATGGTACCTCACTGATATGTACAAGTTATATTTTTTGTATATAAATTGAAATTAAAATGTAGTTAAATCCACATTGGGTATATAGTTGTATGAAGGCCAGGAAAAAATAAGAAGGAAGTGTTACTTATAGTTTATACCTTCAAGAGTGAACAAAAGTAGACCAGTATATTAACTTCCCTCTGCAACTTTTCATGTGTTAGAATTACTATAATATTGGGGGCTGGGGATTTAGCTCAGCAGCATAAGCACCTGCCTTGCAAGCAGGCGGTCGTGAGTTCGATCCCCGGTACCAATAAAAATGAAAAAGACAAAAAAAATTACTATAATACTAACTTGTAAGTGATAAGATTTTGGTTTGTACATGTAGGAATCCAGGACCTTGGTTTAGCATTTGCTACCATCAGTCCCGTCATATGTGGGGGTTGCTATTTTTGTGCTTACGTGACTCTCATGCTTTCCTATCTCAAAACATCACCACTTAATTGTGTTCTTCACACAATTTGAACATCTTTTTGTTTAGTTTGAGCAGTTATTTTGATGCTTGAAAAGAGTCACCTAATGTTGTTTTGACATTCTTAATGTGTTTAATCTTTGCAGAATATGAAAGGAATTTTAGGCAATTTAGCCACCATCTGAGATGAATGAGCTACTGAATAATGCAAGCCTTATTTTTTTATCAATTATACCAGCCACTTCTTTTTTCAGTTTTTTAAAATCTAAATTCACACTATCATTTTGGGTCTTTCTGTAAGAAGTTTTGATTCCATAGTATTCAAACTTACGGCCCTGAATATGTCACTACCATTCACTGTATTTCATTTATGAATTTCATCTATTTAACCTTGACCTCTAGAATTAAAACAGAAATAGATTCACTAAAGAATCAGTGCATTAGAACCCTGTCTAATCAAAATATTTCCATTCTTTTTTGTTAGACAATTGAAATGATTTTCCACAATTTGATAATATCAGTGCAAATTATGCTAAGCAGCAAAGGGCATTTTGGACAAGCTAAATAAAACAGTGTGTGCCTATTGTGGTTTGGGATTCCTGATGGCATGACGTATGATAGCTAACCCTTATCAGGAGCTTACCTTATGCCTTCTTTAGTGTTTTGCATACATTATGTTTCCCTGTAGCATCATTTTTCTTTTATGATATCCCAATATCTGTGATTATTATCTACACTGTACAAATGAAAACACTGTCATTACATGGCCAACCCACAATTGCAAGGCAGACAGTTTTCCTCCACAACTCACATTCTTCATCAGCTTTCAGAATGGACTAAAGCATTGACCCTCCTGCATTCTGCAAGGTAATTTGTATAACCATAAGTCACTCTTTTCTTTTTTTTATTAAAGAGAAAAAAACAAAACAGTACAAGCCTACAAGTAATACAGAATTTCAAGAGAAAAAATACAGTAAGAATTCACTAGTTAATAGATTACATATTGTCATCTCAGAAACAGTTGTCTAGGTTACAAAATTAAAGCATAGAAAGTGGACATTAAATCAGTAAAATTGCAGACAGTTCTGTTCAATAATCCAACAAAAACTCAGTAATAATGGTTTTCTATCCTACACACTTAAATATACTTGCAGTTATATCCTTTAGATCACTTTCTTTCCTTTCTTTTTTACGCTAACAATCACACATTTTGGTTTCTTTCACAGTTCTTATAACTTTTTCTTTGAAGAGGAAAAGAAAGAAAACAAAACAAAATGAAACAAAGCAGAACAAAGAAAAACCCAATGTAACAAAGCAAAACAGAATCATTCAGAACAGGAGGATGGACATAGTATATAATGCAAAAAGAGATTACTAGGTGATCAACAATGGTTACCATTATGCCTCTTGTTATCCTAAAAAGAGTTACCTATATCAGCTGGTATAAAAGAATTGAACTAAACAGTACAGAACAAGACCAATAAAACCCACATTGGAGACCTTACAGGACTTCCAAAGAAGGTAATAGTCAAACCATAATGGGCATCATAGAATACCTGGTTGCCTTCACAGTGGTTGTCTATACGCTAAAATTTGATACTATTAAACAAAATAATAAAATCAGTCATAACAATATGTGGAGAGCAATACAGGGGTTCAAATCAGGTTAATAGGAAAAGAAAAAAGTTACTATAATATATGTTTTCCCTTAATTAAAAGATACTAAGAAATAAATTAATTTTTTAAAAAAAGAAAAAGGGGGAGATTGAGATAAAAGAACATATGAATAGAACAACACTGGTCAGAACCAAGCAATTTAAGCATCATTGTGTTTCACCACCCGATAGCCTGACATTAATCATAGTCACCATAGTGTTTCTTTCCTTGAAATATTTGAGTCTAACTTCGTATACTATAGCATCAAACTTATCAAGATAGTGTGAAACCATTCAAGAGAATGAAAGTATTGCAGGGTATTTAGAACCAGCTAACAGAAGCCGAACATCGGTTTCTATATTATCTCTTTGCCTATAAAAATTTTTGCTTATACTATTGCATACATTAAAATATAATAAGATACAACCTGTTAAAACTAATGGAAACAGACGAACAACAACTTGATGGGGCTTCAAAACAGGATGATACTAAATCACCACTAGCTATTACGCTGTCTTATTTTCTTCAAAATAGCTATTAATAGTATCACAGACAATAAAATAAAACAACCCAGATTAAAACCATTCCAATTAATGAGTGAAAACATTATATGGCTTCAAACCAGAAGTCACTGTTTTCTATAACTTGTCAGAGAAAGTAGTTGGCAGATATTCAGTAAAGAAAAAAAAAATTCAGTCTTAATGCAGCATAGGTCACCATGCTTCAGTAACAATTTATGTATGAATCTCAGAGGTTTCCAGGTTATTTCTTGCTTACCCAAAGTTCATCCTGGGTTAGGGGACTAGTGAGGGGAGGAGGCCCTGAGGCTGTCACCCCATAGTATAAGTAGTGCAGGCTGTGCAGATCCAGTTTCCTCTGCTAGGGTCCCAAAATAAAGGAACAGGTGCCTGGAGAAGCTTCCCACAGATCCTGCCTGATCGATTGGTCAAAACTATGGACGCAGTATTACAGTTAAGATCTAAAATGTCCCACCCAGAGCTTAGAGGATGTGCTTTTCAAAAGCTATGGTGGGGTTCAATTTTTCAGTACACTAATCCCTTGATGTATTTTGTGGCATTATTGGGAGGTGATGGAAGTAGGAAATGAGGGCTGGTTGGAGGAAGTGGAACTTGAAGGTGTGACTTTGGGAGTCACCTTGCTTTCTTTCACCTAGTCGGTCTCCACACCTTCCCTTGCTTTCTGGCTACCCAAAGGTAAGCACTTTCGTTCCTTCACACTCCTTCTCCATGATATTCTACTGCATCTCAGGACCTCAACAATGGGAACAGTCAACTGGGATCTGAAAACTTGGAAACTTTCAGCAGAAGTATTTATTTCCTGCTTTACATTGTTTTTCATAGCCACAAAAATCTGACAGGACTTTGTAGCCCCTATATACCCAGAAAAGGAAGGAGATCTGTATGTGAATTAGATTAAATCATTCTTAATATTTCTAAGATGCTAATTTGTGCATTCTCTGTTTATTTGGCCTTTCATATTACCTGATTATACCTTCATTCTCACCATAAATTAGAATGCTATTTTAAACCGAGGTGGAAAGAAAAGCCCTGCTAAAGAATTATAGTAAGAGAAATCGACAACCTTATTATGACAAGTGTTAGTCTTATCAAAGCCTTTAACTGGACACAATATTTGAGTTCTGTCTGAGGATACTCACCAGCCTACATAATTTTTATTTAACCATTTCAGAATTGCATACCAAATTGTCTTTTATCAAAATTCTAAATTAAAACATAGCTTCAGTTAATTAGGTGAGTACACAATTTTTTCCTCAAAGAATATGTAAGCCTAATATAAAGACTGATCTACAGACACATTGATCTACAGAAAATATTCAAAGAATTGTGTGTCTCTACTATAGAAATGTAGTTAACTGATGCTATAAACCATGACACATTTATATAATGTTGTATAAGACTGCATTAATACAAAAACATTAGTCTGAAAGCAGAGAAGCCAGAAGTAAGGCTCTAT